AAATAGCAACACAACTTATTATTTCCATAGTATTTTACCTACCATCATAATCTAGCAAAGTGGGTTTATATGTTTCGTCTAATAAGCTATCATCACTATCGAAATCCTCCTCACTATCCAAGTCCGGTACTAATACTGTAACATGTTCCTTTTTTCCATAAAATATTTTTGGATCCATAATTTCTGTAAAGTCGAAACCAGAATTGAACAATGTACATTCAAATATACAGTGACGTCAGCGGCCTGAAAAGTACAATAATATAAAATATATATTATTTCTAACATGCCTTTGTAGTAAACATACCTCAATAAGTATTCAAAAAAAATGTACGCTCAATTCTGCCAACAAAACACACTAATAATGTTATTTGATATCACGTGTTTACCGGCGGCGTCCAAACAGCACGACACTTTCCGTACAGACTGAAATAACTGTCCGAAGTGGGTGATTTACCAACGAAATCTACCGAAAACGATCGATCACACGTGTATATTCAGATATACACTGTGTAGCTTCGACTTGCGGGTCATAAGACGCAAAGGACAAATTGTTTGATATTTGTATATTTAAATATACATGATACCATACAGGGTTAAATCCTTTTGAATATTTACTTCATTATTTATAGGTTCCAAAGCCCTTACAAAATTACAATAGGTAGCCTGTTTGTGATTATTTTCATGCAAATGACCTACAGGTCCTGAAACTAGCCACCCAAATTTAGAGTTTTGTAGGACTGGCTTATTTTTACCAAGCTTTATTTGGCCATCTGTAATTAAACTCCAAAACATATCTGAGCCAATAAGCAAATCAACCCTTTGTGGTTCCACAAATTTGGGATCAGCCAACTCAAGGTGATCTGGTATGTTTAAATGGTCAACATCCAATTTATACTTGGGCAAAACGCCCGTTATGGTAGGCAACACATAACACTTCAAATATGTGGAGAAACTATCTAAATTAGAGTATAACTTTAACACTGCATCGGTGGCGCTGGTTTTTTTAACACCAGTGGTGGCGTGGGGTATTGTATACCCCATCTAAGGAATGTGGATCTTTGGGGTATAAACAGTATAATTATTATCAATGTATACAAGAACTGTTAATAATATAATATAATAATACATCAAGTCACCTAAATAAGTAACTGTGTAACTGGAGAACTGAACAGAATGAAGCAAAATATAGAAAAATAATAATTAAACTGAAAAAATAAAACCACTCATAGTCTCCCTATTTCACTCATCTTCATGGTCGCTGCTTCCGTCACTGGCGTTGTCATAACAGGCGGTACATATATTATGTTGGTGATCCTTGCACACAAAATTCCGGCATTCACTGCATCTAGCTGTTGTTTTTTTATCATTTTTCCTGGGACATATGTGACAGCGGCCTGTTTTTCTTTCTCAAGCTCCTCCGTCTTCATTAGGAGTTTCTTGTATTCTTAGCAAGTTGTGTGCTTTTTGTCGAATCACCCTCGGTACATTTTGGCTGTAAATTCTACGCATTATGCAGGGTCTGACCAGTTCTGATGCAAGACTTTTCAAAAACTGACGCCTCAGTACATTTACAAGATTCCCATTTGTTACATATAAATTTAATGCATTTATAGCCGCTATATTCATTACATCGAAAAAAATGGCCAAAGGCCACCTTCGAGTAGTTCTTGCCACATTGTACATAACACACATTTTATCCACAACATCGACGCCATACTTCGTGTGATTATAATCGACAATCATGGCTGGCTTATTTGTCTCTCTGTCAATTTCATCTGAATGATGCATCGTTGAAAGCATAAGAACGTTTTTGTTTTTTTTTTGGTACAAAAGATACTAGCGTGCATTTTTCATGGAAAGCAAACATCGAACTTTCTAATGGCTTGCCTTTTGTGGATACAAAGCACGGTGGAATTTCCCTTTTGTTAGCTTTGATAGTTCCAAGCACAGTCAGCTTATGGTCTGTAAGAAGCTCCACTGCCAAAGGAAAACTGGTAAACCATCGGTCCATCGTGATATTCCTATTGGTGTTTCTTATTGGTTGAACAAGCCTTTTGACGACGTCGCTAGGCGAATTCGATATCTTATATGGACCATCTGGCTGCTTACCACAGTAAATTTCGAGATTGATAGTCATCATCGTCTTTGGATCCGCAAGCAGAAAAAGTTTGATGCCGTATTTGGCTGGTTTCGAGGGCAAATACTGCCTAAATAGGCATTTGCCCCTAAATGCGATGAGCTGTTCGTCGATAGTGACATAGCTGCTTGGCATATATGATGAACAACAATTATTCACAAATAATTCAAACAGCTCTCGTATAGCGGCTAGTTTGTCCAACTCTCGCCTCCCAGGTCTGTCACGTATGTCATCAAACCGAATACAACGGTATAAAAATTTGAATCGAGTGCAACTCATTGTGCAGTAAACAAGGTCTACTCCAGTGCCATCAGTATTCCAGATATCCTCAGTATTTAGTCTACCTTCTTTTAGAACCCCTGTTATGTATAAAATTCCCAAAAATGCTCTAATTTCGCATTCGTCTGTAGGCTTAGCATTTCTTGCACGTGCATACTTTTCTTTGATTGTCTCAATTTTGATATTAGTACAGTTCGTAATCATAGTAATCATCTGATTGTTGATATAAACATCGAAACATTCCAAAACTGTTTTAGCGTTTCTTGCATGTCCAAGAGGACCAGGGACTTTGACAACTATATTGTGCACCCTAGTGCGTGATGTGGCAGGCGCTATTTTACTCCAAATGGTTTGGCCATCTTTACCTGTGTAGTAGGGTTCAGAGCGTATTCCTTCATCCAGTACTTCACCTTGTACCTCGCTCATATCCGTTTCTGATTCGATGAGCCCCTGTTCCTCTTGAACATCATCCGGTTCTTGATCTATGTCTTCATCTTCTGAGTCCGATTCTGACCACTCATCAGCGCCTTCCTCTTGTTCCAACTCCTCCAACCATTTCATCCACTGAGCTGGATCGGTACTAGCTTTTTCAGGGCGTGCCATTATGTAAAACTATAAATAAGTTACAATTATAGTATTTATGTTACCTAAAAACCAACTGTAAAAACCTACAAAAGAAATAAGCGAAAAAACACGAGTGTCACGGGAGTGGTGGCGTGGGGTATTGAGTAGCCCCAATGCGAATGTCTAGGCCAACAAAAATCTAACCGTCGCACACAAACTAGCGAGCTCTACACTAATACGTTGGGCACTCTACTGCTGAAGATTACCTGGATGCGCGTAGCTCTAGTCATCCCCACTCCGGACGTATAGCCGCTGAAATTTGAAGTGGGGTACTCAATACCCCGCGCCACCGATGCAGTGTTAAAGTACATCTCCGCTTTATATCAGTTTGGATATTATAAATTCCATTAATTGCAAAATTTATTTTTTCATATGGCAATTCCAAGACCCTACAAAGCTCTTCTGTTATAAAACTGGACTGTGAGCCACTATCTAAAATTGCTCTAACATAGTGAACCTTATTAGCTTTATCAATCACTTTTACACAAACTGTAGACAATAGAACGTCACTATGCTTACTTTGGGCTGCATAAGCAACTGACATATTAACGTTGTTTTCTTGTTCATCCACATTTAAAGTGTCAGACTCACCTGTAGCATTGCTAACTTTCTCAATATGCAAAAGAACATTAAGTTTTTTGTTACATTTCTTCCATGGAGGACGGCGACACTGTCTGCTAAAATGCCCCCCACGCAGACAATTCAAGCACATTTTCAAACCGATTATAGTTTCAGCTCGCTTATCAATAACGGTTTTCAAAAACTCAGGACAACTCTGAATATAATGTGACCCTTTACACATATAACATTGTGATGACTTTTCTTTGTTTTCCATCACAACTAAACCACGTGATTCTTGTTTTTTATTCATATATTGTTTATTCCCTACACTGTGATTGCGCTTCTGCTCAAGAGTCTCAAGAATTTCTGCTCGTGAAATCAAAAAGTTTTTAAAATCCTGTAACGTAGGAATACTTTTTTGTTTTAGTCTAAAAGTCTCCCATTCACGAGATGTGCGGCTATCAAGCTTTGTGCTCATTTGGTAAATAATGAGAACATCCCATGAATCAGTAGGAAGCTGAAGCCTGGATAATGCTCTTATGTTTTTTGTCAAACACTCCAATAAACTCCTGATACCATTGGCTGACTCAACAGTTAGAACATTCATATTGAAAAGGTTTTTGACATGATTGTGTATCAAATTTCTGACATTATTGTATCTGTCACAGAGCATTTCCCAAGCTACGACATAATTATCCGCACAAAATGTAAGATTCCTAACAATTTCTGCTGGTTCCAGCTTCAAAGAGGCTCTAAGGTAATGAAATCTCTGAATGTCTGTAATTGACTCATTTTTGTGAATCAGAGATTCATAGACATCTCTGAACTCCAACCAATTTTGCAGTGAACCATCAAAACTTGGCAAATTAATTATTGGGAGTTGCAAGTCCTGCTTAATGCAACCTGCACTAACTACTCTGCCCTCTGGGCTGCTTGCTGATGAGGAATCATCATTCGTTACTCCCTCTTCATTTTTATCATCATCAAATAATGAGTAGTTTTCATTATATCTTGTAACTAAGTCCACATTATATTTATCTTGAACATAATTCACTAGATCAGGTGAGCCATCTTTATCTTCATACAATAGAAACAATGGAGTTATGTCAACCTCTTCATGACTGAATATCTTATCAATCAGTCGCTTGTCAAAATCTGTTAGTAGTGAGCAGGATAACGGTAATCTATTCATCTTCTCTTTTCTTTCTTGTAAAATGCTTGCAGTTGTAGAGCTTGATCCTTGAACCAAGTTACTTCCACTCGAGTCGCAAATCACTCTTCTATTATTAATTTATATCTAACTGTCTAAACTAAGAAGTATATATATATACCTTAAAACTTTAAGTTATATCTAATTAATCCTAGGCTGCGCTGACACCAAACGCAAAAATCGAATAACTTATAATAACTTTTTGTTATTGGCTAAAATGTTTTTTGCTGTAGCTAAAACTTTATAGTATTTATTCTCAAATTCACACCTCTCATCATGTTCATCTTCCAATTCAGTTTCATCACAATCTCTATCTATTTTATCCTGTATATCAGCAAATCTTTGCAGCATGCTACATTCTAAACTATTTAATCTTTCTTGCAAATCAAAAACGTTCTCTGGGAGAAGTTCATCACTTCTTAGCAAATTAGAAACATATTTAGCAAAATTTGTCAAGCTGGCTTTGATACTACCCCTTTGGCGTACAAGCCCTTCCATTATTTATAAATAAGAGGCTAGTTGTGACTTATAAGAAAAGGAAAAATATCCCAAAAGCGATGAGTAGTCGATGAAAGTAAAAGGTAAAAAGGGAATTGCCCACTATAATCTCTTTTCAGATATGCCTTGTTTTTATCTGACCTTGTTTTCCTGACGACTGCACGTCTTCTGCTTCTTCCAGGGCGAAAATTGCCTGAGCTGTGCTATCCAAACTGCTTTTCTGCTAATGGCGGCAGGCGCCTTCCTCGTTGTAACCTCCCGACAATTTCTCGTTCTACCCTGCTTTTCTCCTCTGGTTCAAAACTTCATTTGGCGACGAAGGACCATGTTAATAAGCTTGTTAGCTTATTTTTCTTTGCAAATATTGAACACCTTCAATAAACTTTTTTACTTTATTCTTAGGAAACGTGCAAGTCAGTACATTTTTCAATCTTATGTCTATATAGTTCCGAGTTCTTCCGCGCGGTCAACATCAGGTTAATTTGCGGCGTTGCCACTGTGAAAAAGTTTGGCGCGGTTGCCAAATAAAATTCCAACATTCTGCAAAATTCAAAAAACAACATACAAGTCCTTAACAATCTGGTACGTTATTTTGACATTCTGTCTGGTTTTGAGATATTTTACTGTCTTTTTACTACTGTAGTGTGAAATTTTAGAAGGAAACTCAATGTGGTCTTTTATCTTAGCAGTAACTTCAGAAGGAAGCACATGTCTACAGGTGTTATACTTGCCTCGTGAATCTACTGGTGTCTTTCCTTCTTTTAGAAGCTTGTTTATCCTTTGGAGACGAGAATTGGAAATAGCATGCAACCTAAGAAATGCTTTTTTACATAAACGTTTTCTTTGGCCTTCTTGACTTATCCAGTATGAAAATGTCGAAGTCTTCACACAATTTTTGCTACTATTTCGTCGCTTTGCTATAGGCTTTACCTTCATTAGACCCATAAGGTAAGTATCCTGCTGATCTTTGCTTTCCATTTCAAGTAACTTGGACAGTATGACCTGTTTTACATCCTCTGTTATGTGTTCGGCGCACTTATCACTGCAACTAACCAAAATATATTAACACGTTCGCGACAATGTGACCCAAGGGTGGGTCACATCATTACTTGTCAAGAGCCGTGCGCGCCCACCGGTGGGTCACGGTCTAATGCATATATCATTGAACCTAAAACTATACAGTTTATTTGGGGGAATATAATACTGCAGTGACGGCTATGGAAATGGTATATCTGTCTAGATTCACCGTGGTTTTCGGAAAGGAACTGTGGAAACACTAAAGACACTTCTAGTTTAGAGAAAGTATATTTTATGATTCAAAAACTTAACTGAAACGTTAGATTGTTCTTTTTTTCTGAAAAACACTAGAACAATGATATAAGTAAAGAGAAAAATACTAGCGATAAAGTTTAAAATAATATTACAAAATATATATTTTTTTTAGATGTAGGTATTAGATAACATAAAGTTCAGAAAATAAAACAAATTCTAATAATATTACATCTTACAATACTATTCCAGATGTTTTTAAAGTAAAAAAATCTAACTACTGATACAAATTACTTAGCCTATTCGTGGATTTTCTTGAAACACGGAATAATGTTGGCTGTCCGTTGCAGTCTTCGCAAAATGTAAGGACCTTACTTGCTTGCGCCGATGCCACTTTCCTACCTTTCTCATCTTTGAGCATCTTGTAGCAATTAGAGCATCTTTTTCTGCTTTTTCTCGCATTTCCTTCATATTTCCCTAGCCTATGGCTACTTCTGGCCCGTTTTCTCGAACTCGTATTACCCGGAACATCATGCACTACTCTTATTTCTCCAGCGGCCTCTATAGAATCGCCATTTTCTTCTGTATCGGATAGCAATCCATCTATAAGTTTTTCTCTAAATCGTAGCATGTCAAGTTTGTTTTTAGCTTGGTTGTGAGAGCTATGTATGACCCATGCATTGACAACACATGTTCCGAGAATAATCTCAAAAATAACCTTCTTATACCACTTCACACTTTTTCGGAGGCATGTGTAATAAGAAGACATCTGATCTGAAATGTCAACTCCTTTTTTGTCTTGATTGTAATCAATGATAGCGCGGGGTTTTAGTACTTCTTCACCTTGTCGGTTTTTACGTCCAGTTGGAATCTGTTCATCAGTGTGATGTGGTACAGTACTTATCATTAGTACTTGCCGCTTATCTACCCATTTCAAGACACGAACCCCATCTTCGTTCTGCTCGCCGTAAATCTGTCCCTTTTTCAGCTTTTTAGCGCATACATCTTTAGGATTTCCCTTTCTATTAGGCCGGTATTAGACTATAAAAGATCTTTGACAAAGGTATTGTATAAAATATTTTAGTAGGATTTATTTGAAGACATTTTGTTTACAAATTTTGATAACCGTATTATACTACATAAAAGCTTTTACAATATTTTTAGTTTATCATTAGGTACGATGGATGAGAATCGGTTTGTTGCTTGTGCTGCTGCAATAAGTGCAATTATGACGGTGTGTTTATTGTTAAAAAAGAACAAAAAGAAACGACGCCTTTGGGTGAGGCCCTGGATTGCTCGACGTGAACAACAAGGAATTCATCATACCTTGCTTCGAGAACTACAATTTGAAGATTTAAAAAGTTACATCAACTATTTAAGAATGGATGAAGATAGCTTCAAATTTATAGCATCGAAGATATCACCATTAATTTCCAAACAAAACACACACTTGAGAAATTGTATTAGCGTAGAGGAACGTCTTATGGTGACACTTCGTTTTCTAGCAACAGGGGAGAGTTATAGAAGTCTACAATATAGCAGCCGTATACCACAATGCACACTGTCAGGCATAATCCCAGAGACATGTGAAGCTATTTACCAAGCGTTAAAGGGAGATTTTCTGAAGGTAAATATAAAGATATATAAAAGAACGTACACATATGGTTTTTATTACAAATATATTTTGTTAGTACTAGAAATAAAAATGAAAATGACAATTCATATTTGCACAAAACTTTTTAAACATTATTAGAAATTATAAAACTCACGGTGAAACAAAAAAAGTTTAGTTTAATTGAGAAAAACATGCAGGATCATAATCAGATCTTGTTATATTAGCCATATGTATTGCATTTTCAACTACATCCTCTGAAGTATTACCATCTGCTTGCATTTGATTATCTGGATTAATTTGCAGAATATTACAAGCACCTGGTGTCTGGGTTGTTAATATCCATTGATTTGAAGATGATTGGGATGAAACAGGGCTAGGTAGCAGAGTTGGTTGATCAATCATATCCCAGCCCTCCATTAAAACCATCTGAATTTTTCTTTTAGTTTTCCGTACAGTATACTCGTTGCTTGCACCTTGAATACCACGTAGCTCAGCCACTACAAACTGACCAAATGTCTCTAAAGAATCTTGTGTTGCTTTAGAAACTGATCTCTCTCTAGCTATTTTTGACATTTCCTCCATTGTATTTGCTGCCTTAGTTAATACAGAATTGTGCGAAAATTTTTGTATTTTTCTGATTTTTGGAGGTAATACTGAGCTTTCTTCATTTAACCTTATACTTAGGTTACTGTTCGTATCTTGATCCTGGAAAAAAAATTAATTATAATTCAACAGTTAAGCCTTATATTTAAAATTTTATTTTATAGGTACCCAGAACCGAGAAAGAATGGTTAGATGTTGCAAAGGACTTTGAAGATAAATGGAATGTGTTCAATACAATCGGGGCGATGGATGGAAAACATGTACGCATTACCTGTCCAGATAAAGGAGGATCCCATCATTTTAATTATAAATCTTATCATAGCATTATTTTGTTCGCACTTACGGATGCCAACTATAAATTTATCTACATAGATGTGGGGACAAATGGTCGAATTGGTGATAGTGTCGTGTATAATAAAAGCAAACTTAAAAAATGCCTTGCAGATAACTCTATTTTGAACATACCTGCTGGTAAAAATCTTCCGGGCGCTAATATTGCTACACCTTATGTTGTCTTGGCAGACGACGCCTTTCCACTAAGTTACAATGTTATGAAACCTTACCCATTAAAAAATATAACCAGAGAAGAAAAGATTTATAACTACCGATTGTCTCGCGGAAGGAGAATTGTTGAAAGTAGTTTTGGAATATTGGCAAGCTGGTTCAGGGTATTTTTAACTACAATCAATTAATGCCCTGAAAAAGTCACAAAGATTGTACTTGCAGCCTGTACCATACATAATTTGTTGATTGACCGAAGAAAACATCTGTATACTTGCCATGAGATTATTTCTAGAAGTAGGAAAGGACACACATTTTTAGACGTTTTAAGTCATGAAGAACTTCAAGAATTGCAAACTCTAACCACTCAAACTCGTACTGTAGGGAATCGCCATGGTCGCGAAATAAGGGAAAATTTTAAAATATTTTATAATGGTGCTGGAAAAGTACCATGGCAAGAAGAATATGCTTTATTTTACTATTCTGTATTAACTTACATCATCTGGAGGTGCAATAATATTCGTAGTGGAACTACCGTAAAGTGCCACAGACATATGTTTCTTCGGTTAAAAGGTCCTTGCATAGTTTGACACTTGTATAGAAGTTATCCATAAACAAAATTCTTCCCGAATGTTTAAGGTCTTGCATTAAGTTCATGCATACATTATAAGTATGCCCCTGCGTGTTCGTTGCTACAGTGGCATCATTTTTTCCTGCATAAATACGCAAATCGTAAGTATAACCTTCAGTCTGCATATTTTGTACAGTTTCACTCCGTATTTGTCTGGTAAGTATTGACGGAACACCAACCTGCCTCTCCAAGGTACCATGCTCTCATCAATCACGACTTTCTGACCTGGAACAAGTGTCTCCTTGAACTGTTGACAAATGAGGTTTACAACATTTTTTATTTTCGAGAGTCTGTTTTGGCCAGCTAGTGGATCATTGTTATCAGAAAAATGCAAGCATTTCAATAACTGGTCAAATCTGTTGCGATTCATATTTTTTTTATTCGCTCATTAGCGTACATTTTATCATTTGACCAATATAGACTCATTTTTGGTAGCTGATTGATCCCCATTATTAGCAAGATAGCTAGAAATTTTTTCATTTCTGCTCTGTTAGTATCTGTCCAAGTTTTCAACAGAGACCGTGGTCGCAGTGGCTTCGATTGAATGATCTGATGTGCGTATCTGTTAGTTTCCTCCACTATGATGTCAATGATTGGATCAGTAATAAACTGATTGTAGATAGCGTAAGGTTGAGATACATCTAAATTGTTAACTTTCAAACCCGTTTGTTCGCAGAACTGAAAATTTAGAGGTAATTTTGTAAATGGTCCTCATTTGGGAGGATTTACTGTTGCTTTTAAGTCTGTATCGCTTGACGAACTGTTGTCACTAGAGTAATCGTCAGAACTGTTATCATCAGAAATAGCATTTTTCATCACATCCTGCTCATCTGAGGGCCTATAGGACTCTTCAGAATCCTCAAATGGGTCGGATTCTGAGGATGATAGATGTTCAAATCTTCCTTGTAGTCCAGAAGTAGACGGACGTGGATTTTCCGGAGATGCTGCTGGCGGATTTAGATATTCTGGGGATGCTGCAGCTAGACTTAAATTTTCTGTTGATGTTGCAGGTGGGCTTAGATTTTCCGGGGATGCAACAGTCGGACTGTGATGTCCTGAGAATGCTGCAGACGATCTTAGATCTTCCCGGGATGCTGCTTCTTGAACAATTTGTTGATCTGCTTTCTTTTTGGCAAGAGCCAGTAATCTGTGGGATCTGGAACTCATTCTGGTCTGCTACTCTGATCTGCTATTCAAGAATTATCTGAAACAAAACAATCTTATGTATTTGCCGCATACTTACCTATATTTCCGTAACCCACCCGTGGGTCACAACGACTGCGAGGCAAAATTTTAACTCAGGGACGTTGTGACCCACCGGTGGGTCATACACAAAAACACTCAAAACTTAAAAAAACAATACGTAGATATTGGAATAGCATTTAACTACATTAAAATGAACAAATATAACGGAAAATAAACAACAAAATATTACACTTTTTGCATTGATACATAAAACTAACCTCGTCGCGAACGTGTTAAAGTTATAACAAATTGTTCCAAAATCAATGTAAATAACTCACTCTATTTCTCCTACCATTTTCTTAGGTATGGTTTTCCCGCATTTATTAACATACTCTTCACCTTTAAGGCGAGCTCGTTTTCTTTTATTTTGCTTCCATTCATCAGGTTGCTTCCTTCGTTTTTTTAAGGACCTTTCTGGGGAACTATCATGATCACTATCAATATCGGACATTTTGTAATATCGTGTTATGAAAACCACTAACTTATTGTATTCAAAATAAACAACATGATATACCAACGATACCAATGCCTGTCGATTACTGAAAATGAATTGCCATTCACCTACCAGGATCTACGGCTCAATATCGCGGTTGGGTGGGAGAACGGCACATGCGCAGCACGTGTACTGTTCTTTCACTCAGCCCCAAATTAAGCTGACTGCCACCGAACGTACGAGGCTCGTCGTTGTACCATTCTTTCACTATATGATGAGTCTTTGAGTTTCACACAATTTGGGTATCTCCGGTAATATTGCCATTTTTGGCACTTGTATCGTCCTTTCACTCACCGATTTAATTATTCATGGATTATCTGTCAGTACTCAATGTTGCCAACCACACAACACATTCTTGCTAGAAACATTTTGAGCTTTTTTGTCTTTGAGGTTTTGATTTCGTAGTTCTATACTTGAATTGAAAAGCTGTTTAATATACATAATGGAAAGGAAAACAAGGTTGATACCATTGAATTTGACGTTCAACGTGGCAAAAATTAGAACAAATTCTAATTTCGTGAAGAAATCCACGAAGAACTTTATGAATTTATTTGACGTCAAATTCCTGTGTACACTTTTGAAATTTGGCCATGAACTGAATTCAAGCAAAAATCCGTGGATTTATTGTCAATGTAAAACGGGTATCAGGAAGTTCGAATTCTTTTCAATTTGGGCGTTTCTGATGTTTGCAGCAGGGATCGTAGAAAGAAGAATGCAGTTGTTCGACTTGTAAGGATAATAAGTATTATTCTCGGATGTATAAGAGGACGAGAGGACGCTAAAAGTCAGAGAGGCAACAGTGTCGACGAATTTTATTTGGCATTTACGGTGGAAAAGTTTGTTCCATATGGAGTATAGAAGGAAAACGTTGATCTATCTTATTAGTATTTTGAAATATTGTTATATATCAAATATTTAAATTATATTATGATTTAAACAAAGTCTGCCTAAACGTATGTTATCAAGGCTACTAGATAACCGAGATGGGCGGTATATCCCTAATTTGGTTAGGAGGAAATGCCTACCATTTAGTTTAAATTGACATGAGCGTAAAATCTATATATAAGAAGACAGTTTTTTTATTCAAAACGATTCGGGAGACAAATATTACTAGAACCCAGATTAGAATAGCCACAGTACAAGAATTTGCAGACGTTTATCCAGCTTGTCCAACTGGTTTAGGTGTGGTTGACTCACTATCTTGACTGAGCATCACAAAGTTGTCCGCTATTGGCGGTACCATTGTGATATTGGCAGATGGATCGGCTCCACAGCTCTTAGTGCTGCCGTTAGGTCTTCTAGGTCAGCTGTCTTTTTTTAAACGATCCAAAAAAATATATTTCTTTTATAAAGCCTATCTCTCTTTTATTTTAATATATTGACTACATTTCGCACGAAAATCTACATTTGATGAGAGGGAATATATTCCCTAGAAAGTTGTTCCAGAAACCGAGATGGGCGGTATATCCCTAATTTGGTTAGGGCCGGTTTATCAATGCATGGTTAAATAAATCAACTAGTAGTTAAAAATAATCTGACGGTCAAAATGTTTATCCACCGGCAGTTAAATATTAACCAACAGTTAAACCCGTGTGAAACCTGACCGCAACTTGGATGTTCCAGTTACGAGCGATAACTAGCAGTTAGGATCTGAAGCATGCGCAGATTGCAGACTTCTTCTTGTTTTGATATGTCATTCTTGTCATTTTAACCTCAAAAAGTCTGTGTCAAAACGTAAGCAAAAACAAGGTTTTTGTAAAGAATTATTGTTTGAAAATCAAGTGAAAACTTTGAAATATGTTGGGTGATATTGATGCTATGTTCGATGATGATGATGATGCGGAAATAGTAGAGTTTTTAGAATATGAAAGGAGGCCCTATATTGTACGAGAAAGAGAAGACTTCTTCCATTCATTGGACGACATAGATTTTTTTGTGAGGTTCCGCTTGAAAAAAATTACGGTTTTATATATTTTATCTCTCATCGAGGAAGAACTCGAATCTGTTACCGACAGGTAGGTTATTTCACGTTTTTAGAACGCTGCTGATGTTAATACCTATAGGTACTTTTTATTTTCTGCGAATATTTTTTCTGTAATATTTAAACAATATGGAAATAGATATGTGGATTTCATTGAATTTTATTTAACTTATCATGAACAATTCTATGACAAATGACTCCCTGTGGTAACTATTAATTGTATATTTATTTCAGAAATCATTCTATTTCACCCATCAATCAGTTATTACTGACTCTACGCTTCTATGCTACGGGAAACTTCCTACTAACTGTTGGTGATTTCATCAAAGTTAGTAAGAGCTCTGCCTCAAAAATAGTGAAGAAGGTGTCTGAGGCAATAGCTACCTTCTCAGGTAGATTTATAAAAATGCCAAGTAATGATGAGGAAATAAGGAAAGCCAAAAGTAGCTTTTATGAGAAAGCACATGTGCCTAGAGTGATTGGATCCCTTGACTGCACACACATAAAAATTCAGTCACCTGGTATGGTATCTATTTGTATCTATAGAACTTGTACTTATAAAACTTTACCCTTACAGGAGGAAATAATGCAGAACTATTTCGCAATCGAAAAGGCTATTTCTCCATCAATGTACAAACCATTTCAGCCCCCAATCTAAAAATATTAGACATTACTGCACGCTGGCCTGGAAGTCAACATGACCAGATAATTTTTGATAATTCATCAATAAAAAGTAGATTGGAAAGAAATGAATTTGGCAATAGCCTTTTAGTAGCAGACAGTGGTTATGCAAATTCAATGCATGTAATAACACCACTTTTGGAAGCAAGAACACAAGTCCAACAACTTTATAATGAAGCTGGTATGTTTCTATCTCTTATAATCATTACATTATATGGAGCTGTTTTTTATTTTACTCATAAAATAATTTAATTCACTAAAAGCATGAACCATATTTTTTCATTGTACAGATACTACACTGCATTATTTTTTCTATACAAGGAGAATTAAAGTTAATGAGTTTGTTTTTCATTTATTTTTTCAGTTACAAGAACCAGAAATCCTGTGGAAAGGCAATACGGTTTGTGGAAACGACGATTTCCAGTTCTCTCAACAGGGTTGAGACTAAAATTACAGACAACCCTTACAGTGATCGTTGCCACAGCTGTGCTGCATAATATAGCAATTGACCAAAATGAAGAGCAGCCCCCTGATATTCCAAACTTGGATGAAAACATAATCAATTATGAAGAAGATATCAGTGTTGATCCTCCTGAAAATAACTTCATGAATGCCAGGGAACTGTTATTAAGTGAATATTTTCCAGGGCTTTTAAATTAATTCTTTACTTGTACTATTTATGAATTAAATACAAATAAAAAATAGCAATCTTTAATTTCAAAATTATGTGTTATATTTATATATATTACACATATTTTATAATTTATCATTTGTTCTAATCTGCAGTTCCATTTTCAAAATGTCTTGCTTCAGTTTCAGGTTTTCCATTTTTATTTTATGCTCTGCAGCATTTTGCTTTTTTATTTCTTCTGCAATCGACATTTGCAAATTCACCAGCTCTAACTTCTTCATAGCCAGTTCTTCAAATTTCGAAGAAGCAGAAGACATGCTTTTCTTTTTCTTAATTACTGGTCTTCGCCGACATGACCATGGCTCTAAAATAAAATTTTTGTATAGTAACATAAATATGAGATATCTATATACCTATATTTATAAGAAATATTTCACAGATACTTTTAGAGCTGGGAGTCTCTGCTACACTGATACTGTCAGTATTATGGTCGGTTACTTCCATATCTTCTCCACTTACGTCCACCTGTAGCACATTCGGCCTTGATACTTTCAAAGCTGGATGAATGTGTGTTTGAAGGTAGGAAGTACTGGGTGTGTTCCACTCAATATCTTCATGCGTTTCTACTATCACACTGCTGTTTTCAATCTCCTCAATTTCAACTCCTCTTACACCTGTAATCAAAATCAAATTAAGCATGATCCAAAGGTAAAAATAAAAAAACAGAACTTTCCTGCTATGGCATCTGAATCATATTGAGACTGAAGACCCTCAACAGAAACTATGATAGTTTGTAATAGTTCCTTCTCTTCTTCAGTCTCAGGTTTGGGTTCTTCTTTTGAAGCACCACCACCTGTTCCAAGCATATAGCACTTATGGCTGCTATATTTTTTTTTCAGCTCCTTCTTAATGGCCTCATACTTTGTTTTTAGCTGTTTTGCTGTTCGTGGCTAAAAAATTATTCATATATGAACAATTACGGAACAAAAACTAATATTGCATTCATACTCTTTTCACTACAGTTTATATCTTATTTAACAGAGTTGGGAAATGTTGCCAAAACTGTATATTGGAAATCAATTAATTTATCACATACTATAGCAATTGAAAAGTATATGTATATACTCACCACTCCAGTTGTAAATGAGTTGAATTCTCTTTCAATTTTTATCCACGCTTCTTCCTTCTGTCTCCAAGTAACTCCATCCGTTTTTTTATTTTCTATCACTGCCTTAAATTTGTTGGACAGTTTCAACAAGTTTTTGCGGTCGCTGAGGCTGAAGTTCGCTCCTCTTTTTTGTTTTCCCTTTCCACTGTTTTCTTCGCTTTCCATTTTTCCAAACAATCCGTACTAATTTCGTAAAACAATGCCACACGAATAAAGAAAACTTCAAGATACGTGATAGCAAAGACGTCATTGCGTGATAGTGATACACTTTCACACAAATATATCGAATAGGTTAAATTTTTGACATTTGCGTCATTTGTCATTGTCTGACATTTTTTGTGGGAAATTTAAATTCAACGAATAAAAATTCATTTCCGCTCAGTTCAGTTCTACCAACCTTGTAGAAACGAAGGCAAACCAAAAGTTATAAAACTGACAGCTATTGATTGATTGATAAACACGCTTCATAACATAACTGCCAGTTTAGCCTAACTTGAGGTTACTTAACAGGCACTTTTAACTGTGCTTTGATAAACCGGCCCTTAGGAGGAAATGCCTACCATTTAGTTTACATTGACATGAGCGTAAAATCTATATATAAGAAGTCAGATTTTTTTATTCAAAACGATTCGGAAGACAAATATTGCTAGAACCCAGATTAGAATAGCCGCAGTACAAGAATTTGCAGAAGTTTATCCAGCTTGTCCAACTGTTAGGCCAAGCGACAGGGCGATATGGAATGAGGGACCATTATCATACAAAAATAAATTTTCCATTGATTTGGCTCTACAACATTTTACTTTGAGGTCAATCATTTAAGAGATACCAAGATGTTAAAAATAAATGTGATCAAATTTGCTAAGGAAGGAAAAAATGAAATAAAATGAGAGTAAAAATAGTGACAACCTTTATTAAAAAAATATCATTTACAAGGCAAAGTTATGTACACACCTTTACATATTTCCTGCGTAGTTTGTATTGTTATCTTCTCATGTTTTTATTTAAAAGCCTAATTTTGAAATACATTTTACATTTAAAAAATAAGAGTTTAGTATCCTTACTCAAATCTATATGTTCCGAAGACTTGAGCAAAGATTCTAGATATTTGTCTGAGAGCTTTAGCGTATCCCCATTGAAGGTTTGGAAAATTTGATCTAGGGCATTGCATTTTGTTAAAAAATCTTCATGAGGCTTCCTCAAACCACCTTCAGAAAGGTGGCTTACCCATGAATATGTTGAATCGTAAGAATCTGGAATGTAGCCGAGCTGTTCTTTATCTCCCAACTTAAATGCAATGAACCCCGCCAAGTTTTCCAAACCGTCCCAACGCAAAACACACTCGTCACTATTTGTCTAACCTATTAAGATATGTATATGGAAATATACCTTTGCATCTCATGTAGGAGAACTTTTCGTCCTCAGGAAAGACTCGTACCGTCCGACATTGTTCTGCGCTTAGAAAGGATGCCAAGGTTTCTAATTTTGACGATAGAAACTGATATGAATCGACAAATCGCATCTGCAAAAATACAGTTTGTGATTTTCCCTCGTGGGAAATGTACGTGTCTACAGGTATCAATTTCGTAAATGAAAACATATTTTTCAAAAGATTGTGGAATCACTTTAATTTGTTCTTGCTTCATAGCGAGGTGTTTTATGAATAGGTGCGCATCATAGTTTTTGAGGTTGTGGAAAAATATTGGAATGTATTTTGGGATCTTATAGTTTAGATTGCATTTACTATGTGCTGCTCCACGATATTGCCCGGTGAAATGACAGTGATCCCTAACTTTTCTATTTGTATTGGTAAATGGATGTTCACAAATGAAACATACCTCTGCTTTATCAAACACATTTTTATCGTGCGCCGTCATTTTCATCGCTACATTTTGTTTTAAATATTGATCATATATTAATTTAAGATCAGCCTCTAAGCGCGTAACAAAAATTTGTGCAGCATCCTCACCCCTATATACGTACAGTTCGAGCTTGGATAGTGAATCATTATAAGAACATTTAATATAATAAGCAAATGAGGAGGGTCTATGTTCATACTTTTTGATGGTACATACATCCTCTGAAGCACTTGAGTGATTGTCTATCGCAGCTAGGATGCATTCAAAGTCCGCATAAACGCAAAACGGTAGTCTTAATTGTTTGTGATGCTGTTCAAATTTCAGCACATTATCCATTACCGTGTTTCCAAGGCGATCAACTCTGGTTTCCAGTTGGGGCAGCTTAACTGCAATGTGTTTGCAATAGTTTTGGATGTGAATTTCCAGTTTGTCTTTTGATGCAAAGTATTGTAAACAGCCATCACAAAAATGCTTTACTCTCGTATTAAGTGACAACTGACTTGAAACGAGTCTTGAAAAGTTGGTAATTAAGCAGTAATGATGGTTACCTTCTGAATCATCAATAAGTAATAAGTTCAGATGAGTGGGTTGTTTTTGCGCCGTGTAATGTAACGGTCGTACCACCTGATATTTAGACTTTCCATCAATGAATTCCTTTTCTATTCCATAAACGTTAATTGACATATTATTCAATCTTTCAAATTCTGATATTGACTTGAGAGCAACTGGAAAGTCCATTCCTGCAAAGTTTAAACCAGGAATGTTCGAAAAATGTGGATATGACGTTGTTAGTGACGCTTTCCAAACCGTCCCAACGCAAAACACACTCGTCACTATTTGTCTAACATAACTATATCTGTGTGTTCCTTGACATCAACGCCAGTTTCAGCTAATTCTAATGTATCGAACAACTGGCTACTGATAATTTCTAAATCATGAGCGGCATTTTCATGCTATAAATCGACAGCACTATCAAGATTATCGCCAGCAGTATCCAAGTCAGTTATTGTAATATTTGCTATATCCTTTGCCTGCTCAACATTTGAAGCCTGCGAAATTAGCTCATCATTACGACCCATGAGATAATTTCTCAGCCTTTATTTGAACTGAAGTGCTGTTGGATCATATAAACCACCTATCGATCTGATAATTGAAAACAATCCTTCAAGGGGATCCTGATTTAAATTGTAATTAAGTAAATGTTTAATGTTAAAATTAGTCTTAAGATTGCCAAAAAGTTGCTTTAACGACTTGATGCTAATAATTATTCCACGTTGAAAAGGCAGTAAGGATTTACAGCCAACTTTCTTCGTAGTGCGAATAATGTTTTCCATGTCATCCAGCACCTTGTTCTGCTGTTCTAAAGCTAATCCGTAAGCCTTTTATGTTTCTCTCAAATCAATTTGTGGAACTTTGAGTTAAAAATGTCAAACCAATCATTTACTATCTATCATTTCTGAACATTCTAGCCACTTATTTTCAGTCTGATAAATGCCTAACATCCCTAATCGCGTTAAAGCTTTCAACACTGTATGAGAGAACAACTTTGTTGCAAACTTAACTTTCTGCCTTTGTGGTCCTTTAACAGTTAGCAGCTGTTGGTTAACTTTATGTGCAATATTCAAATCTAAGTGTCCAGTATAGTTTAATAAATCTACAATAGGCTTGGAATTTATAATTTTGTCATTTAATAAAAAACCACTATCAAGAAAATGATTTCTCAGTAATTTTATCATATGTGGCGCGTCAGCAAATGTAAAGGGTGTCTCATAAATATTTTCTTATTTTATGCCATAAATAAAAATACTTAGAATATCTTTACAAAGATAAATTTATTACCAAACGAAAGCCTAAACATTAATTTTATTTATGGAAAAGAGTATCGGATAAATGAGCACCGTTCATGTTTTCACACTCTCTTAATCTCGAACTGAAGTTTTCGATCACTCTCCGAAGCATTGCTCGAGGAATGGCGTTTATTTCATCTGTTATTTTTTGCTTCAACTCTCTCAAATCTTGTGGCGGTGGGGTGTATACCTTACTCTTCAGGTATCCCCATAAGAAAAAATCTGCTGGTATCAAATCGGGACTTCTCGGTGGCCAGTTAATGTCTCCTCTGCGACTGATGACCCTCTCTGGGAATAACTGATGAAGAGCATCCAAGGATTCATTCGTGACGTGAGAAGTCGCTCCATCTTGCTGGAAAAACGTGTTTCTATTGTAGCCACCATGGTTCTGTATAGCTGGAGTTAAAAAAGTCCTAATCATGTGGCAGTAGCGCTCAGATATTACAGTTTGAGCTTGGCCACGATTGTCTTCAAAAAAAAACGGACCAATGATTCCTTGCCCTGACATAGCAGCCCAGACGATAACTTTAGACGAGTGTAATGGCGTCTCATGAAGATTTTGCGGGTTCTGCTCGGCCCAATATCGGCAGTTTTGTTTATTAACATGCCCGTTAATGTGAAAATTCGATTCATCAGAAAACCATATGTTGTTGTAACCGTTAAAATGCTCTCTCATTGTTCTACAGAACTCTAATCGATTAGCGGGATCTTGTGGTTTTAATTGTTGTGTAACAACAATCTTGTATGGGTGAAAATGCAAATCCTTGCGAATAATGCGATGAACAGTTGACTTATGCAAAGTTAGAGACGCTCCACGCAGTCTTAATGATTGCCGGGGATCCTCGTTAACGGACTGGCGCACACGTTCAATATTTTCGTTCGATCTTGCTGACCTTGGCCGTCCAGGCGGTTTACTAATACACGTGTTTCCAGAGCTCTCGAACTTTCTTACCCAATATTTAATTAAATTTGCGCTTGGGACATCTCTCATTCTTGCTATGTTATAATGATTTCTGTACAAACGACGTACAAGCACATAAGAATCCTTGTTTTTATAGAACTCGCGAACACAAAAAGCACGTTGCGGCCCTGTAAAATGCTCCATTGCAACTAAAATTTAACAATGTTGCCAAACGTTTGTCAACTGTCTCGTTTCTCCGGAGCATGCGTATTCCGCCAGAGGACTGATCTAAAAACGAAAATATTTCTGAGACACCCTATATACACTTTTTTCTCATTTACTGGATTTTCGAACCATGTTTTTTCTTCTGAAATGTTCAAAGGCACAAACCCCTGCTACTTACCCCCAAATCACAATTGATTGAATAAACAGGATATCCAATAGTTTCCAGTTTTGCAATTATCTTAAAAAGTTGATTCTTCGTTATTTTTCTGTCATAGTCGTAAAATATCGGTTGCTTCCATTTTCCACATATGCTTTTAGCCATAATAACCCGAGCGTATTTACACGGACCAAGGGTTCTGTCATATTTCTTGTCGTAATCATAAGAAGCTTGAATCTTCATTTCATCAAATAACAAAACACATGCCCTCTCCATTCTTGAGAATGTGTTGGTTTTCATCAATGAGAATATAGTGTTGAGTATACCTAAAAAAATCAAGTTTGCTACAACTGCATTTATAGGAATCTTATCACAAGCTGCTACCTGGGCCCTATAAAACAACCACTACAAGTCTATAAATAAATTATATAATAATATATAAGTATAGATATTCTGTAACATGAAGTAACTCGTAGTTACTAGTGGGGCACTGGTAATTACGGAACTTTCTCTACAATTGTAGTATCTTTTCGTAACACAAAAATGAGACTTGTACAGTTGTGTTACGGAATTGTCGACAATTGTAGACAATTTTCTACCTATCTTGATTGATAAGTGTGGTGAGTATTTCATCGTGAGCGTATATCTATGATTCGACTGTCGATATGAGGTCAAGCGATTCGGATAGTGAAAACGAAAATGGTCGTGCAGTATATCGCTATCAGGAGAGAATTAACTTTGTCGTACTGACAGACGGGGAATTTGTGGAAAGGTTCTTAGTCGACAACAGTGTGAAGGTCTTCTTCAAGATGTAGGTCCAGCCATAGTGAATATAACGATTCGATGGTATGGCTTGTCACCATTACAGAAACTGCTTATTGCTCTGCATTGGTTTGGAAACGGAGGGCAATACCATGGAGTATGTGATATGCATGGAGTATCAAAAATGACCGTATGCAGATGTGTTCACGAAGTTACTGCTGCCGTAAACGAAATAAAATTTGATGTATTAGTTCAATGGCCCGACAATACAGGAAACGTAATAGAACGTTTTCATAATTTGGCAGGATTTCCTGAAGTTTGTGGAGCTGTAGATGGAATCCTTATAAATATCGATGCCCCCACAAACAACGAACCTGTTTACGTCGATCGCCATGGGAAGCATTCCATCAACTGCATGGCTGTATGTGGGCCTGACTTACTGTATGAGCACGTGTTACATTTTTATAATGCAACGTCGGCGGCGTCCGTTCAAAGCGAGAAACAACTGTGTAAACGAGTTCGGATAATAGAGGGTCCGGATAATAGAGGTTCGGATAACCGAGGTTCTACTGTACAGAAAAAAACATTAACCTTAAAGATAGAAAGTGCTTCAAAAACAACTTTGTTGAACTAAGAAGCGAGAAACTAACTTTAATATTAGAACTTAAAACTAAAAATAAAGATTTATGATATGAGACATAAGTTGCCTATAAATCAACTTTTTTAACTAAGAAACTTAAGTTAAGAACAGTTGTTACAATAAAAATGCCGAATACCTTTAATACCACATGTTTCGTAAGCCCATAATGAGCATATAACACATTTTAACCAATCTGTCTTACAAAGCTCATACCTTTCCTTGCAACAAGTGCAAGTTACTTGATCAACCACGTTACAGTCTCCTTTGGTTTGATGATTTTGGGCTTGCTTTTTACCATTTAACTTTACTTGTTTTTGTTTGTTGTTAGGGTTTGACTGTGAATTCTAGACATATTGACTTAAAGGGACTTCGTCCCTACAATCATCACTGTCATTAGAAGGACATTCATCTTCACTTGAATCGTGCATGGAAAAATTATCAAAATCTTCGGAACTTGAGGAGTCATTGGTCAGAGATCACCGTTGTTTTACCCTTACGTGGTCCTCGCTGAATGTTCTTTTTTGGGGGTGCCTTAGGAAATGGCCTTAAATGTTCAGGCGTAATTTTTAAAGTGGACGGATGTAGAAAACCACTTTTTGAAGATTTTGGGCTGCTAGCAGTGGATGTTAAAGGCTGAGGTTCGTCGTCGGACTGAGCAGTGGATGTTGAAGGTTGGGGGTTATCATTGGATTGAGCAGTGGATGTTGAAGGTCGGGAGTTGTCGTTGGATTGATCAATATCTTTGGGAGCTTGATCTGAAGTGCGTGGTTCGGGTCTATCGGTGACAAATGATGACAAAAAATCGTGTTTCTTTAGTTTTCTTTTCAGTTGTAAGCTATCATAGAAATTATGAGTTTCTTCGTATTTAATTACAGTTTTTAACTCCTGCAAATGTTGATATTTGGTATATTTAATTGGAATTCTTATAATATAATGGTGACAGCCGAATCACTTTTAACTTTTTCCGGCCTAATTGACTCAAATCGCATTAAACTCCTATCATCATACTTACGAAAAATGTGTAATTAAGATATTCCACATCATATAGAAAAGGTTTCTCGCAGGCCGCTTGGATGATCTAGGCGTACTGATAAGGAAGGGTTTTTTCCCGGCCTTTAAGTTTCCGTTCAATAAGAGCATGCGTCGAGTCACACTCCATTTGGGTGTGACTCTTCTCAAGATATTTTTGCTCCACAATAACATCAT